GTCCTGTCTGTTGCACCCAGATTATCAAGGTCAGCCCTTCGGTATCCCAGTCTGGTATCCAGTTTGAGGGATGCACCACTGGTGTCTGCACGCGCAGCTGGTATCCCCAAACCCACTCACTCTAGCCCTCCTGTTCTGGAACTGATTCCCCTGTCTGAAGCGTTTCCTATGATGGGGATCGCTTTTTGGTGTGTTTCGGCTGCATACACCACCATAGAACCTCCTGAGGTGGCGGCGTCCACTATGGTGTCTCCAGAGCTGGCGGCTGAGGCTGCAGAACCTCCCAAGGCAGCGGTGCTCGCTTCAGCTCCTTGTATGGAGGTGGCGCCCAGCAATACACTTTCAGCCTGTCATGTCGCGGTCGAAGGAACCATTGCTGAATTTTGTACCTGTCCTGTTAAGAAGAACACTAATGAACTTTCCCTGTTTCCAGATGGTACGGCTGCAGAACCTCCAGAGGTGTCAGTGGTATGCACTTGTGAACTCTCGTCCTGTTCTGTTCCGGCCAAGGAGGCCGCCTGTGATCCCTCTGCCTGTCCTGTCATTGCTATGGAGGCCGTCTATGAACTCTCTGCCTGTCCTGTTCCCTGTTTGTCATGTCACAGCTACAGAGGCCGCTTATGAACTTTTCTTCTGCTCTGAACCAGCTGAGGATGCCATCTTGGAACTCTCGTCTTGTTCTAAACCCGTCATGCAGATTCAGCCGAGGAGGCTACCTACAACCCTCAGTCCTGTCTGTTACAAGCAAGGACACTGTCTGCGAACTTCTTGACTGTCCTGTTGCAAATGAACTTGCTATATGCCTGGGTAACCCTGTCACAGCCATGGGGGCCGTGAATGAACCTTTCGTTTGCTCTGTTAGCCTTACCACGACCCCAGAGACTTTAAATGTATATCCTGTATGCCCTAGTAGCCTTGTCACAGCCAAAAAGGTCACCTGTGAACTCTTAACCCTGCCGGTCATGAACCCTGAAACCATAAATTAACTCTATATTTGCCCCATTACTTCTGTCTTCGCCAAAGAGACCACTGGTGAACTGTCTGTCTATCCAGTACCTGCCAATGCTTCTAGTTTTGAACAGTCGGTCTTGTCAGTCTTTACCAATACACCCAGTTTAGAAGCGTCTCCCTATTCAGTCTCAACTAATGTATCTGTTTGTGAATTACCTGCCAGTTCTGTTTCAATCGATGAACCTGAATGTAATTTGTCTGTTTATCCAGTTTCAACCCATGAGTTTAGTCTTGGACAGCCTGCTTATTCAGTCTGTGAGTCTGTTTATGAACTGTCTGCCTGTCCAGTCTCTGTCAATGAGCCAGATTTTGAGCTGTCTGCCCGTTCAATGGTCACCAGGAGGACTATTGATAAACTTCTTGAGTTCCCTGCCTCAGTCCCTGAGACTGTAAATGCACTGTCTGTCTCCTATGTTTCAGTTTTCCCTAGGCCTCAGTCCCTGCCATGGGTTCCTGATCACTCTGGTCTGCCGTGGTGGTCTGCCGACACGCTCTGGTGGGCCAATGCTCCATCTGCTCTGTCGTGGTGGTCTTTGGCTATGCTCTGCTGGTCTTCTGTCCCGTCTGCTCCGCTCTGGTGGGTTTCTGCTCTGTCTGCTCCGCCCTAGTGGGCTTCTGTCCAGTCTGCTCCGGCCTGGTGGTCTTCTGCTCCTCCATGGTGGTCTTCTGCTCCGGCCTGGTGGTCTCCTGTCCTGCTCTGGTGGTCTTCTGCTCCGCCGTGGGGATCTTCGGACCCGTCTGCTCAGCTGTGGTGGTAATCAGCTCCACCTGCTCTGC